GTCAGGCCCGCAGTGGAACTGGCTGTCTTCTACTTCTCCTTCCAGTTCTGCTGCTGCCGCGTCATCATAGATTTGCAGCTTACAGATAACACACCTGAATAGCATACTCAAGACTGCAGCAGCACAGACATTTTGATGCAGTAATTCAGAGCAAGAGGTGTCTGTTATGCCCGTTGTAATGATTCCATGTCTTGGTGTGTGTGTTCCTTTAAATGTGTCGTTTGACTGCAGTACTGTAAGGAGAGTGATAGATGGAGACAAGTGTATTTTGACTGGCTTATGACTGAGACTGTGGGAGGAGATGTTCTGAGAGGATTCTGTGTGTGTGTCTATGAAGGGATTCTGTGATATTTGAGAGACAAGTATGGAAGACTTTTGAAGAGAGTCTGTGTGACTCTGAGAGTTATGAAGGATTCTGTGTGTGAAGCTTGAAGAGAGACATAGTCTGTGTGAATATGGAATTCTGAGTCTAAATCTGTGTGAATAAGGCCAACAGTTTAGTCTGTGTGACTAAGAGAGTTGATTCTATTCATTGTGAATAAAACAAAGAGACTAGACTGTGTGGCTATATATATGAGTGTATAAGCCTGTCAGAGTGGAGTTTGGAGTTTGTTTGTGGCACCAAGCTTTGCCGGTTATATTTACAAGTTCCTCTCGTCAGCAACTGTTCAAAATAACCAGAAAACTATTTTGTTCTTTATTAAATAAATCAATTTTTGTTTAAACTTATCCCAGAAATCAGTACAGTACTTCCTCAGGGCCACATAGTCCTCTAAAGTGCCCAGACCCTAGGTCATTCTACCAGCAGGGAGAGAGATTTGGAATTTTTAATTCCTGGTAGCAGTAGAAATCTACCAAGTTTAGGTACACAAAGTGTGTTTAAAGGTAAAACCATTTCCCCTATAAGCAAGGATGCCACAGAGGGGGAACTGCGCAACCATTACACAAGGTTGTGTTGCCTTCCCTCATTGAAATGACCAGTCCTTGTTCTCAAAGGGTGCTTTCTTGGGAGGGTCCATGGCTCGGTGGTAGAGCATCTGCTTGGCATGCAGAAGGTCTCAGGTTCAATCCCTGGCATCTCCCACAAAATTTAATAAGTTCATGACTGCAAGCAATGGCACGGTGGGCATGAAGACAGGCCGGAGGCCGTGTCATGTGCTCCAGTGGCATACTGTGAATAAGTGAAAGAAGTCACAAGCTTGCAAAATAGCAAGGGTCTGCTAGGGGGAACTGCGCAACCATTACACAAGGTTGTGTTGCCTTCCCTCATTGAAATGACCAGTCCTTGTTCTCGAAGGGTGCTTTCTTGGGAGGGTCCATGGCTCGGTGGTAGAGCATCTGCTTGGCATGCAGAAGGTCTCAGGTTCAATCCCTGGCATCTCCCACAAAATTTAATAAGTTCATGACTGCAAGCAATGGCACGGTGGGCATGAAGACAGGCCGGAGGCCGTGTCATGTGCTCCAGTGGCATACTGTGAATAAGTGAAAGAAGTCACAAGCTTGCAAAATAGCAAGGGTCTGCTTGAATTCCTGTCTGTCGAATATCCGAAGCACAGGGCAGAAGAGGCGTTCTCAAGGTTTTTGCCGTCATCTTTTACAAGTGTGGTTTGAATAACATTCCAAAAACCCTGTATGACCTTTCATGCTTGGCTGAGCTGTTAGAGATTAGCAAATGTTATTCTAACAAAAGGGTCCAGAAACAATATAGCGGCATGGGCTCAGTAAACGTGGGTGGTTGACTTTTTCTTGCAGGTTTTCGTGGATTTTGGACGTGTTGCTTGCAGGATCAGTGAAATACGGCATTTTTGTCTTGGTATCTGCGGTGGCTCAGGTGGGTAAGACGCTGAGCTGCATCCTCTTCTTCTGTTTGGGGAAGGGAGGGAACACAGGAGTGGATATAATATAGGCCCTTCCAGTCCACGTTTGGGCTGCTTTTGGGCCAGATAAGAGCCCTGGACGGGCCGGTTCCGGCCCCCTGAATTGTACGTTTGACATGTCTGCTGTAGAATATTAATTTGCTGTTCAAAATAAGGGAAATGACACTGTGGTTAAGAAGAGTCTGTGGTTAAGAGAAAAGCCCTTTTAGATCTTGACTGGTTGCTACCAGGGAGGCATTTGTATGATCCATGACTTCCAATGGAATTACTCTTGGTATGGAAGATGTTGCGGTGGCTCAAGTGGTTAAGACGCTGAACTGCAGGCTGTGGAAGGTCGGTAGTTCAGCAGTTCGAGACCCGAGTGTGCGCATGACGGAGTGAGCTCCCATCTCTAGTTCCAGCTCCTGCCAGTGCCAACCTAGAAGTTCGAAAGCAAGAAATTGCAAGTAGATAAATAGGTACCACTTCAGTGGGAAGGTAACAGCGTTCCGTGCGTCTTGGTGTTTAGTCATGCCAGCCACGGAATCGTCTTCGGACAGCGCTGGCTCTTCGGCTTTGAAACGGAGATGAGCACCGCAACCCTAGAGTCGGATTCGACTGGCTTTCGAGCAAGGGAACCTTTACCTTTACCTTATGGAAGATGTTACTTTTTGATCTCCTCATCCAGGGAGGAGAAATATATTCAGGAGTACTCCTATGCTGCGTCATTGCTGGTCGCCAGACAGGCTTTGCTAGGTTACCATAGCCATTAGCTTACCCATGTAGTGAATAGGTGTCTCCATTTATAGCTAGTAACACTCCTTATTAAAAAGAGGCAGCCGTGATTATATTGTGAAGAATACTAGGTGGGGCCAGGCAAAGATCTGGGAAGGCTTTTATGTGAGAAAATGAAACCCGTTCACCCTTGAGGCTTGAGTGCTACTGTTGAGCAGAGATTTGCAAGGAGCTGTGGTCCACGTCGAGAGTTTCCTGCAGCAGATGTCGTTGTTCATTTGTTCTCGGATAAAGATGCTGCATTTCGGCCCAGTGAAATGCAGGTGCAAGCAGAGGCTGCAGGTCTCAGAGACAGGACATTTTCAGAGGCATATTCCTTCACTGAATGCAAGGAATTTACTTGGGGGGGATGGCATTGACTTACAGGTTTTCATGGGATAATACATAGAATCATAGAATGTTGGATTTGGAAGGGACCTTGCAGGTCATCTAGGCCAACCCCCTGCACTCTGCAGGAGCATAGCCAAAAGATAGCCCTACATACCTACAACATACCTGAAGGATGGTCGGCCAGCCTCCGCTTGAAAACGTCCAGCAAAGGAGCATCCACCACCTCCCGAGGCAGACTGTTCCACTGCTCAACCACTCTGACAGTTAGGAAGTTTCTCCTGATATTTAGCCGGTAACGACTCCCTTGTAATTTCCACACATTAGATCTAGTCTCACACTAATGCAGTTTAGAGGGAACACTGCATCTAATCCAGCGTCCTGTTTCATATAGAGGCCAATCAGTTCCTATGGAGGGCCAGCAGATGGGGCACAGAGGCCAAGGCCTTCATAAGAACATAAGAAGAGCCCTGCTGGATCAGACCAGTGGTCCATCTACTCCAGCATCCTGTCTCACACAGTGGCCAACCAGTTCCTCTGGAGGGCCAACAACAGGGCATAGAGAGGTCGAGGCCTTCACAAGAACATCAGAAGAGCCCTGCTGGATCAGACCAGTGGTCCCTCTAGTCCAGCATCCTGCCTCACACAGAGGCCAACCAGTTCCTCTGGAGGCCCAACAACAGGGCATAGAAACCAAGGCCTTCATAAGAACATAAGAGGAGCCCTGCTGGGTCAGACCAGTGGTCCATCTAGTCCAGCATCCCGTCCCACAGAGTGGTCAACTAGTTTCTCTGGAGGGCCAACAACAGGGCAGAGAGGCCGAGGCCTTCGTAAGAACATCAGAAGAGCCCTGCTGTGTCAGACCAGTGGTCCACCTAGTCCAGCCTCCTGTCTCACACAGTGTACAGCCAGTTCCTCTGGAGGTCCAACAACAGGGCAGAGAAGCCGAGGCCTTCATAAGGAAACCAGAAG